GGGTCGGAAAGGCGGGCCTAGACGGCCAGGTCGAGCAGGCGGGTTGCTAAAGCGTGCGTCCTGCATGACTCGCGAGGAAGTCTCGAACGAAAGCGCTGTTCCCCTAATCAGTCTCGAAGAAATCCACAGCGAGAGCGTGATTTCTTGTGTCTCGGGGGCGTGGCGTCTGAATAAATTGCAAGGATGTCCCACGCGAAAGCGTGCTTCCTGTTTGAAATTATGAGGAAGTCCCTCGCGAGATCTCGATATGGGAATAAGGTGTGCGGAATTAGTTGGCGGGAGCCGCTGTTGTTGTAAACCAAGGGGCAGGGGCACAGTTTGAGCAGGAAGATTTCCTTCAGCAAAAGCAAAGTCAGCCCCGGGAGGGGTATTTCAATTGAAGAAACATGTATGTTCAGAATTCGCGTGAGTCTTGCATAATTCCCCAGGGAGGCTCGGGCGAGAGGCGATTTCCTAGTAAATTGTGAGGAAGCCCCACGCGAGAGCGCGATTCCAGAATGGCGACGATGTGGCGCCTGAGTGACTTGCAAGGAAGTCATCGGCCAGAGCGCGATTCCTAAGTAAACTGAGAGAACGTATCCGGCGGGAGCCGTTGTTGTTGTAGTCCGGGGGCCAAGGGCGCAGTTTGAGGAGGAAGACTTTCCCCGATAAAAAACTAGGTGCGAGCCCCGGGAAGTGCACTTCAATTGAAAAATGCATAGGTTACCAGAGGGGGGGGTCAACAAATTCTTCCATAGTGAGACTTCAACAACAACAACAGCAACAACAACAACAACAACGACCCGTCAACATGGCGCTCAGGCCGCGCGGCCGCTGCCCCCCCAACGCGCGCCCACCCTATGGGGAGACGCAAGCCCCGCGGAATCCGTCCACCCAGCGAACGACGACTACGATTCGGGTGCCGACTCCGGCGCCATGTCCTCCAAGGGTAGTGAACGATTAGATTGGGCCGATGTTCAGAATATGGAAACCGACGAAAAAAGGGCAAAACATTTTTGATGGTTACTACAGAATGCCAAACGGAGGTGGAGGAGTTTCACAGCGAACCGGCACGACGGGCACGACGGCGGGAAATGAGAAGGGCGGTCGGAGGAAAGATCGAAGGTAAAGGAGGGCAGAGACGCCAGAACGGTAGGGGTATTGCTGAATTTGGTGCCAAGCTTTCCAATGATCAATGCGTCGATATATTTTCCGGTAGAAAGGGCAGAGGCCGCGGTCGCAGAGCATTTGGCAACAAAACAAACGCAGAAATGGCAATCCCCAGGGCCGCGACGGCAAGACCCTCCGATGCCGCAATTGTGGCAGCGAAAATCATCTCGCAAAGGTGGTTCCGCACTGGAAGGCAGCGGCACGGGTCAGAGCATGGATGCCGACGCTGACTTTGGCTCAAGCGCGGAGCGTATCGATTAGAAGGATGGCGATCCGTGTCTTCACCCCCCGTGCGCCCCATACCATGTACGTCTTGTAGATGGCAGCGAAATGCCATGTGAAGTTATCACCTTGCTTTCGGCTTAAGGGAATGGTGAGAGGAGGAATGAGGAGGAGGAGGAGGAAATTTGTGATGATGATGATGATGATGATGATGATGATGATGATGATGATGATGATGATGATGATGATGATGATGATGAAGAGGATGAGGAGGAGGAGGAGGAGGAGGAGGAGGAGGACGAAGAGGAGGAGGAGGAGGAGGAGGAGGAGGAAGAGGAGGAGGATCAGGAGGGGCAGGAACAGGAACAGGAGCAGCAGGAGTAAGAGCAACATGGGCAGGGGCAGCAGGAGGAACAGCATTAGCAGGGGCAGGAGCAGTTGCAGCTAGCAGGGGCAGGAGCAGTTACAGCAGGAGCAGGAGGAGGAGGCGGAGGAGGAGAGGGAGCATAACAAGGCGGAGGAGGAGGAGGATGAGGAGGAGGAGGAGGCGGAGCAGGAGGAGGAGGAGGAGGCCTCTTGGAGGTCTTGTTTGGGGGGTGCTCCTGGGGGGCGCCTGGGGGCCTGCTGTTGGCCTATTAGAGGGGCCTCTATGGGGCATCTCCAGGTCGTCTTGTGGTCTTTTGGGGGCGCTGTAGGGCCGTCTTGGAGTGCTCTTGGGCCGTCTTGGGGCTCTCCTTTTGGGGTGTTGGAAGCCCGTGGAGGCGAGAACACGAATCATTCAAACGGGTACGGAGAATCAATGATTGAGGCCTCTTCCGGCAGTCGGAGAGCACCTTGAAACCCTTTTGAGGCCGATTTGAAGTCATCTTGGAGTCACTTATGACCGTACCGAGATCGTCTTGGAGCCATCTTGGGCCCTCTTGGGGCCATCTTGGCCATCTTCGAAGCGTCTTGAGACCGTCTTGGGGGTCATCTTGGCTGTCATGGAGGCCATCATTGGGCATCTTGGCTGTCTTGGAGGCCCTCCTGGAGCTATCTTGGGCGGAAAATCTGATGGGAAATACCTTTGCGTGGCCTTCCGGGTGGCAGGCGGGCTTGGCCAACGTTCACTGGGAACTTTTTGAAGGGCCAAAAGAAGTGTAAACCTCGGTGAGCCAAGCACCCTCGTGGAAGCCATTGGCGGCGGCGGATCAAAATACCTTCGGCCCTTGCCACCACCGTGCCTGGCCTCTTGGGGCTTTTGGAGGCCACTTCGAGGTATTTTGGGGCCTCTTAGAGGCTGCTGTGGGCCTCTTGGGGCTGCTGGTAGCCTCTTGTGAACCTGGAGGCAGGGGGGTCACTTTGGGGCGGAGGACTCTAGATTTCAGTCGTTGCTCGACCTCCTGGGTCCGTTTGACATCACCTTGGAGTCAGCCTCGGGGGGCCTCTTGGACCGTTGCGGACACTCCAAAAACCGAAAAGGCTGCTGTGCGAAACTCATGCGACGCCCTCAGGTCTTTCGGTTGTGTTGGGCTCTTGGGCTGGCCGGAGGGCCTCGAAGACGGCCCAGGAGACTTCTAAGAGAGCCGCAGGAAGGCCCGGGGGGGGGCATCATGCCCTCATAGAGCATGTTGGAAGTCGAGACCCGCGGCCACGCTCCCAGGGCCTCAGGAACGGTCAGGCTGGCAGTCCAAAGAGCGCTTGTGAGCGCCCAGAAGTGCCCACGAGCGCGCGGAACATGGAGGCCTGGGCCCCTTTTGACAGATGTCTACATTACGCCTGACAGAGAGTCTGGAGTGACTTGAGGACACTCCACTCAGTGCCCACTGCACAGTGGCGACTGAAAATCATGTGAGTGGTGTGCACGCGTGCGTGTTCCAGCGTGTATGCGCGAGCGTCTGCGCCTGATGCTTTCGGTGTTCTCCACCAGGCGCGGATTCGCGCATGGGAAGATCTTTCGATCATGGCAGTGTAGCTTTGACTTGGCATGGCGAACGGGTTCAGCGATTGGCCCTGCGGTGTACGAACTCATACATCGCAATACCGTTCGTCACGAACCAGGAGCGCGTGTGCCCTTCATGGTGCCATTACTTAAAGACGCGGGCAAGGGCCAAGAGCGGATGCCCTGGCGATGCACGAAAACACATGATGCGGAGCAAGACGTCGGGTACGGAGGGAAAGCGCGTTTTCCCCGCATGGTATGATTTGGTTGGAACAGGCGGGGGGTCGAAGGTAGGTGCCCTCGCGTAGTTCGAAGTGATGTTCAGGACGAGTGATCGTGCATCCTAAACACGATGCAGCAATTTGCGAAGTGGCCCCAGCAGCCCCAGCCTGGAGGGGTGATCAGGGCCTGAGCTACTTTAAGATATAATGGAGTGACGCGGACGCCAAAATCAGCTTTACAGTCGAAGCCTAGCGAAGCAAATCTGGGGTAAGGGAAATCATGGGCGGCTGCCGTGCGCGATAAAGAAGAAGCGCGAGGAATTTGAGGAGGTGGACAGGGAAGACGAGGAGCAGGAGGAGGAGAAGGTACCCTTGGACCGTCGCGGGGGCGGACGATGTGCAGGAGGAGAGGGATGAGGATGAGTTGGAGTTATTACCCTACCGCGGGGGGACGAACATAATAAGGATAATGAGAAGGAGGAGCAGGAAAAGCAGGAGGGGCAGAAGGAGGAGATGGACGACGAGGTGGAGAAGGTAAAGAAGGATGATGCTGCTGCTGCTGCTGCTGCTGCTGCTGAGGATGAGGATGATGATGATGATGATGATGGTGATGATGGTGATGATGGTGATGGTGACGATGACGATGACGATGACGACGATAATGCTGATGATGCTGATGGTGGTGATGATGAGGATGCTAAGTATGATGACGAGTATGATGATGACGCTGATGACGATGATGATACTGATGCTGAGGATGATGCTGATGCTGACGCTGATGATGCTGCTGATGATGATGCTGATGGTAATGTTGCAACTGCTGTTGCTGCTGCTAGTAATGATACAACCTTCATGCGCATGGCAAGCAAGAGCGATGAACAGGAAGATCAGGAGTTGGATGAGGAGCATGAGCATCAGGAACAGTATGAGCAGCAACAGGGGGAGCACGAAGAGCAGGAGAGAGATTACGACAACGATGACCGTGAGAAGGACGACGATGACCAGGAGCATCATCAGTCGCAGCAGCAGCAGGAAGACCAGGAGACGAAGAAGACAAGGAGGAGCAGCATCAAGAGCACAAGCAATGGGACGCTCGCCGTGGGGGTACGTCCTTCGCTCCTTTTCCTCCCCTCAACCTCCCCTCAGCCTCCTCCTCCTTCTCTGGTCGGGCTCCCCCTCCCGGCTCCTTCCCCTCCTAGCCCCCTCATCCCCCTCTCTTCCTTTTACCCCTCCCGACCCTCCGTCCACCGCCTTCCCCACCTCCCCTGTACACCTTCTCCCTCCCTCCTCTTCTTCTTTCTGCTCCTCCTCCTCCAAACGTTATCCGTAGCCATTGTGGCTCGAGCTGCGGTCGCTGCCGCTTGCTGGGAGCGGCTTTTCTGCGCGGCACTTCGATGTCACCTCTTTCTCCATTTTTCGCCCAGCCATGTCTGACGCGAGCTAGGGCGATATCCCTGCTCAAGCCGCCTGCTTGCAGCACGAGACTTATGCTGGCGCTCACCCAGACGCTCAACTGTTCTCTGATGGGACTTGGGAGTGGTGGCAAGGCTCTCGGCCTCTCAACGTGTACGCGCAGAAAGCTTCGAGACATCGATTCTCTTTTCGGGTGGGTCAAGAAGCTCTCCAGGCCATCCATCAACAAGTTCATCGTCGACCTTCGCATCGAGATTTCTGTCACGAGTTTGTCTTGTGTTCCATTGGTCGCTGCCGCGCCTGTCCACATTGAGGTGTCGAGTGGCTCGGGTGAGCTTCCCGCCATCCAGCCATTTCCGCTTATGGCTCCGGACATCAAGCCGTGTGACAATCGGACCTGCCAGCTGCTGGGTGCCCTGCGGATGATCGACGGAAGGTTCGACAGGCTCGACGATTTATGGAGAAGTTCGAGGACAGGCTGTGTGTTCTGGTCCTCTGTTTAGCCCAGGGCCGCCCGCAGGCGGTGACTCAACCGCGACGTTTGACAGCCAACTGCTGGATGCCTTGCGGATGATCGACGGGAAGTTCGACAGGCTCGACGAATTAATGCAGAAGTTCGGGGACAAGGTGCAGCACATGGTCACCCGGGTTGTGTGTTCCAGTCCTCTTTTTGGCCCAGGCCGTCCGCAGGCGGTGACTCAGCCGCGATGTTTGACATTGACGACGTGCAGGCAGACGCGGCCACACAGACGGATGCTGGAGCTCCTCCGCTTCCTGGGTCTGCCGAACATGACCGATGTCATAGTCAAGCCAAGCGAAGCGGCAGGATGCAGACCGAGCCCTGGCAGAAGCCGAGGCGTTGTCAAGTGATCGGCAAAGCCTGCCAGGCCGACCTGGCGCTCACAGGCCTCACCCCCGCGCCCGCTGCGGAGGCGAAGCCTGCTGTGGGCACCACGTCAGCAGATGAGGAGATGGCGCCCTTGGCTCCTGAGACGGCTCAGCTGGCTGAGGCCTCCGATCCACCAGCTGCGGGGGCACAGCAGCACGTGGCTTTGGCGCCGGCCACCGGGGGTCCAGAGGCTGGCCAGAAGAGGAACAAGAACAATAATAATCAGAAGCACGAGCCGACGGACACTCCTCCGGCCCAGGACCCTGAGCGTCGCAATCTGCTGAGCGAGCCCGAGTTAGCTGATGGGGAGACTTCCGCGCCTGTCTCTTCGGAGGAACTCTGGGGACTCATTGGTTGCATTCGTGCCGAGATGAGCGGCCTGAACCTTCAGATGTCTGCCGCGGCCGAGGCCGCGGCGGCCTGCGCAGCCATGGGCCCAGCCAGTTTGGCTGTCTTGTCACCCGTCTCCTTTTCACCACGTGTGCATTTCATGTTTGTTGTGCCACTTGTTATCACGCGTGTCGTGCTTAGTGTATGATATCAGAGCGTCGCATTTTGGCTCGGACTTCCACTTGCTCCGCTGCTTCTGGTCTTGGCCCGCTCGCCCCCCTCTTATGGCCAGTGTCGCCCCTCCTGCACATGTTACGTGTGCTTCTTCGCCTCCTCCTCTTTCTCCTCCTTCTCCTCCTCCTCCTCCTGCTTAGGCTACCCGCACTCCTCCTCCTCCTCCTCTTCCTCCTTCTCCACCTCACCCCTCCTCATCCTCCTCCTCCGTCTTCCCCCCCTCCACCTCCCCGCGGCCCCCTCGCCTCGCCCTCCCGGCCCGCTGTGGGGTGCAGGTTCTTCGACATCCAGGGTTGGGAGCTCCACGCGCAACTGGTCGAGGCGCGGGGGCCGGGCGCGCCCCGGCCAGGGCCTTGCCGGGCTGGGCTCGCCTGCCGTGCCGCCTTCACAGGAAGGAGTCGTCGCCGCAGCAGGTGGAAGAGAGGCAGAACGGGCAGGAGGAGGAGGAGGAGGAGGAGGAGGAGGCGGAGGAGGATGAGATGGAGGAGCCAGCAGCTAAACATTCAGAGGCATTGTCGCCGAGGCTGCCACGCGAGAGCTTCTCAGGCAACGACAGGCCTTGTTTGTCCGATATTCCTTGGGTGAAAGAGTGCCATAAACAGAAGCTTGCTCACGTGCGTGAGCTTCGTCATTGTGCACGTGGAGCAGATCAGGTTTTTGACCCTTTCGTGATACAGATGGTTGGACTGCCTCGACTGGGAGACACATGTTTGGGCTGATGACGGGGGGGATTTTGTGAGGGAGGGCATTTGCACATGATGAGGGCGGGGGAGGGGCAGCGCCTGCAGAAGTCACTGCCTGGTGTGTTCTTGGATTGGCCCTCGTAGGCCGTTCTATGTGGAGAGTGTAAATGCAGAGATGGAGCTTGGACGGTGAGGACGAGGGGCCTTCGATGTGGGCAAACTGTTGGAGGCCGCTCGACATTTTCTCGCCCACGTGCTGGTGCCCCCCTCCTCCGTGTGCTTGGGTGCGGTTGCTGGATGGGACCCCTGGTGTCACGACGGTCTTGCACCGAATGGGCTGCTCCAAAATGGGCGACCTCTCTGTTTTTTCTCTCGTCCTTTAAAACAATAATGAAATAAGAGAGAATTGTCCACGCACTGTAACTGTAACGGCCTTTAGATGGAACTTCCGAGCGAGGATGAGGATGAGGAGGAGGAAAAGGAGGAGGAGGGAGAGGAGGAGGACAGGAGGAAAATGGCACGGATAAGGAAGAGCACCTCCTCGTTCATCCCCTTCCTCATTATCCTTCTCCTGCCGCATGCGCTACTTGTGTGTGAGCGCGAAGCTGACATCATTGTTTTCAGTGCGCGGTTTGCTACGGTCACAGAGCAGCCCGCGCCAGCACTCTTGGGCCCCTCGACCATTTCTCCTCGCACCCGTCCCTCGAGGCTCGGGTCGTTCGAAGGGGGGGATTCAAGGGGGGGGGGGGGGGGGGGGGGCGAAATACGTTGCATGCAGCCGATCATGGCCCGGCCGCCGAGCACTTTCCTGGGCCCGTGGCCGCCTTTGTCGCCGGGAAGTGCCGGGGAAGCCCGCGCAGCGCGGCTGATTCGCTTGCCCGCCTTCAGCGACCCTCCCCCCCGCTCGTTTGGCCCCGTGGAGACTTCCCACCCCCCCTTGGCGGGCCTTCCGACCTGGGAAACCCCTTCCCCTCCCCCCCATCGGCGGGTGCCGCGGCGGGGGCCCTTCCCCGGCGGGGGACCCCCCCCTCCCTCTCGGCGGGAGCCCCTCCTCGGCGAGTCCTTCGACACGAGAGACCCCCCCCGGCGGGGACTTCTTGCCTCCAGGGCGGCGCCGCTGCGCGCGCGCCTGCCGCGGGGATGGTCGCCCGCGCACGCCATGGGGCCCGCCCGCGGCTGGCGGCGGCGAAGGGTGAGGCCGCGGGCCGCGCAGGCGCTGGGGAGGGAGGAGGACGAGGAAAAGGAGGAGGTGGTGGAGGAGGAGGAAGCGGAGGAGGACGAGGCGGAGGAGGACCACGGTGAACCCAACATGCATGCATCAATGCTGCTACGATACACCCTTCCGTCCCAAGTGCCCTCGTCATGCGTCCCTGCAAAGCTTCCTCTCCACTTCAAGAAGCGCCCTTTTGAAAGATTAACACCACTTCGACCTCCCATTCAGGCGAGAGCCCCTTTTGTGAAAAGGCGCGAACTGTGTGGCATCTGGTCAGCGAAGCAGAAATGCGAAAGTGTATGTTCATACTGTTCAGAGAGGTGTCCAATGAGACCATTGTTTCGAAAAAGGACCGCCCCATCTGTGGAAATATGGTACAGGTGTATATATCATAGATCGGGGTACCGCGGGCGTGGGGCCTGGGCCCTCTCGGATTCCCCCCCCCTTGCGGCACCAGAAATCTGGACCCATTCCGGCACTGAAAATTTGGACCCCCCTGACTCTGGATCCTCTGTAATTTGGTTGATATTCCGACTTGAAATTGTTTCGGACATGCACCCCAAAGGAGTCGAACAAGTATGGCGGACATTTTCCACCCCAGAGAAGCGGATATGTCCGCCTTACTTTTGCCGTTTCCATTCGTCGTTGAACTCGCGCGGCCCAAGAGGGCTTCAAGATGCTCCCAGGAGGCCCGCGCTCACTAATCCCCATAATGTCTATCAATGGTTATGGCGTTTTCGCCCATCGGGCTTCGGCCTAAAAGGCTTGCAAGCTGGCCCCACTCTTGCAAAACAGGTCCACAGGAGGGCTGCAAGACGGCGCCAGGACAGCACAAGACGGGCTCCGAGACGGCTAAGATTGCCCAGGATGGTTACTCCTCCTCCTCCTCCTCCTCCTCCTCCTCCTCCTCCTCGTCCTCCTCCTCCTTCTCCTCTCCCAACAATGAAGCGATACCGAATTTTGCCGCTCGTGCTTGTTTTGGGCTCTTGCAACAGGACTGAACCATCAATGGCGCGATACCGAATGTTGTCACTCGTGCTTGCTGCGGACACATTTGTTGACAGTGCAGGTGAATTTGACCGATGGATTGTGGCAGCGGTGTTGTAGGACGCCCAGGCCACACTTGGTTGCTGCCGCGGAGGCAATCAGTCAATATCCTGGTCCTCGCCTCCGCCCCCCTTTCCCAGACGTCCGGTGTCTTGATGTCTTTCAATGCGCGGCCCTTGGAAGTCTCGACAACTCAATAGGACAATGCGTCATCCTGTACGTTTTTAACGGCCCCGGGGCCCGTCGAGGGCCCCGGGGGCCGGACAACTGCGACAAACCTCCGCCTTGATGTTTCTCAAGACGTTGGGTGTCTGGGCTCCTCGCCCCTCCTCCTCCTCCTCCTCCTCCTCGTCCCGTCTCCTCCTCCTCCTCCTCCTCCTCCTCCTCCCATCTCCGCCGCCGAAACGCAGGCCCGAAGGTCGACTTCGGCGACCATGGGGAATACCCCGAACAACAGTAATCAGAGGGCAGTGCCGAATGAGGCCGATCGCAAATCCCAATGGACCCAACACGCCCCAAAGAGAACCCCCATGACGACGCTTTCCGACGCGATATCGATTCAAATATGCACGTCTCGGGGTCGAGTGTTGCTTGTTTTTGTGAGCTTTGCAAGAGGCCGTTGCCAGAAGACGCAGCCCAAAGGGCCCGAGGCCTTCCTCAATCGACCCCGAACGTTGCCGAACAGACCCCGAACTGACCCCGAACGTTGCCAAGGTGACCACAGACGGATCCCATGCGTTGCGAAATGGACCCCGATCGAACCCCAAACGCGCCCAAGCGCATGCCACATTTACTTCACCCATTGCCAACCGTTGGACAGATTCGAAGAAAAAACAAGTCAGGGAACGTTTTCTTAACAAAGGTGAGACACGATTCCAACTTTGTGATTTTCAACTTGGAGAAAACATGTCAACACTCTCCGCCGAAGTTTGAGAAGCAGACGGCGTTTCAGACAAAGTCGTGCCCAAACCGTTGCCAAGCAGACCCCAAGCTCTCCACAGCCGTTGCCAAATTGATCCCAACTTGACCCTGCGCACGTTGTCAAACGAAACCCATACATACCCCAAAACGTTGCCAAACGGACTCCGAACTGACTCCACGCATTGCGTATCGAAGACGCCTACGGCGAATCACCGCCGCCCCCTGCCCGTGTGGAAGCGCCTATGTGGCCGACAGATGGGCTAGAGCTTGGCCAAGCTATCGGGCCAGTTGTTCCCCGAGTCGGGTTGGAAAGCCTTCGGGTAGCGCGCGGGGGAGCAACGGGTTTGACACCACCCAAGTGTCCGAGCGTTGTGGCAAGAACTCTGCCAAGCTATCTGACCATGTGTTCCCCAAGCCGTTGTGGAAACCTTTCGGGGAACACTTGGGGGAGGATGTCGGGAATACCAGGAGGAGGAACGGGAGGAGGAGAAGGAGGAGGAAAAGCAGAGGGAGGAGGAGGAGGAGGAGGAGGAGGAGGAGGAGGAGGAGAAAGAGCAAAAGGAGGAGGAGGAGGGAGGGAGGAGGAGGAGGAGGAGGAGGAGGAGGAGGAGGAGGAGGAGGAGGAGGAGGAGGAGGAAGAGGAGGAGGAGGAGGAGGAGGAGTAGGAAGAGGAGGATAATGAGGAGGAGGAAAGGAGGGAGGAGGAGGAGAGGAGGAGGAGGAGAGGAGGAGGAGGGGGAAACGGAGGAGGGAGGAGGAGGAGGAGGAGCAGCAGCAGCAGGAGCAGGAGCAGGAGCAGGAGCAGGAGGAGGAGGAGGAGGAGGAGGAGGAGAGGAGGAGGAGGGGGTGGAGGAGGAGGAGGAGGAGGAGGAGGAGGAGGGGGCATCTTGGGAGTTTCTGGGGGCACTCTTGGGGCCTCTTGGGAGGTTCCTGGGAGCCTGTTGGAGGCATCTTGGGTTTTGGGGGGGGCCTCTTGGGGGCCTTTGGGGGCTAATCGAGGGCTTCTGTGGCCGTCTCAAGACAGACAGCTTCCGACGGCGCCAGACGGGCCACGAGCCCACCAAGACGGCCTAGATTGGTATACGATGGCCCAAGACGTCCCAAGAGGCCTCCAAGATGGCTCAAGAGGCCTCCAAGAGGGCCGTCACGAAGGCCCGAAGATGCCAAACTCATTGATTTACAGTCGGCTCTTGAACGATTTTGGCATGTGCTTCATTTCGGTCTTCTGACGGCCCGAGACGACCCAAAAGCCCCGAATGATCGCCCAAGAGGCCTCCAGGACGGCCCCAGAACGGCCCAAGAGGCCCCCAAGGCGGCCCCAAGAGGGCCCACAGACGGCCCACGAGGCCTCCAAGACGCCCAAGATGGCCTCCAAGACGCCCAAGATGGCCTCCAAGACGGCCCTGGAGCACCCAAGTAAGGGCCCCCAGTCGGCCCAGAGAGGCCCCAAAGACGGTTTCCGACGAAATCGGGTGGGCGCTCGGCAGGGCCATCGAGCGCGCATCGCAGAGGTGGTCTGCCCACGTCGACGCCGCGGCCTTCACCGAGCTGGGCTGCGACACCGCGGGCGCGCCGCGGGGCGTGGCGTTTCGCTGCGAGCAGAGGATCAGACTCGGGCGCCTCGAGGACCACGAGTGCTTCTGGGAGATGCTTGCGCGCCTGCCCACGCGCCGCGCGGGTCTCGGCAGCGCGACCTCCTTGGTGCCTGGGCTGGCCAGTCTGTGAAGGCCGCGCAGCAGTCAGTGAATGCGAGCGGCCTCTGGACGCCGGCCCGGCCGATCGCGGGGCTCCCAGGCCCTCGGCCCAGAGCGGGTCGGGCGGCGAGAGGCCTCGCGCGCCCCGCGGAGTTCGCGCCCTCGGTCGCCCACTTGCGGGAGACAGAAGCACCCGAGAGCGCCCTCACGAGTGGGGGCAGGGGCGCCGCCCAGGACCGCGCGGGCAAGGGCCGCGTCTGGGGCAGGAAGTCGACAAAGTTGACCAACGAGAAGGAGCAGGGCGGCGGCGGCGCCGCGGGAGGCGAGTGATCGTCCCCAAACTGGTTCGACATCTTATAACACCGAGGAATGCCAACTGAGGGGTCGAGCTATCATCGGCACTACCTACGACTCCGATTTCGCAGGCCACCGTTGATTCGGTAATATGCGTTCCTTTTGCGTCTGGCCTGGCGGCTTCGTTCTGCAGCTTCCTCGAGGCGGGGGTAAACAAACTTGCGCCGACGGGGCGTCTCGCCCTTCGGCCTTGTCAAGGGCTGCCCATGCTCTGCAGGCGCCTCTACGAGTGGTGTGAGAGTGGAGCTGCGCCGCGGTCGCCGCAAAGACGTGCGCGGTGGCTTTGGGAGGGGCGTCAGCGGCTTTGGGTCAACGCGTCCGTCGCCTATCTCCTATCTGATCTGGCTCTCGCTTGGGCGCCTCGCAGGTGGGTCGACAGCAACCTGCCTCGGCGCGCCCTTGACCGAGAAGCAATGGCCGCTGGTGCACCAGCGTGATGACAACACGTCTCCGATCGTTGCCGCGTCGGGGAGTCAATGCCGGCCCTGATCGGCGGCGTCGCTGGCACCCGCGGGGCCGCGACAGTGCTCGCGGGCGCTTCGCGCATAGGAGGCAATTCGCATTTTGGAGCCTCTCTCCCGCGCCGCAGACAACCTCGGCATCGCGCCCAGCGGCGCGACGATCCTGCTCCAGGAGCCACGCGCCCCGCGTCTTTGACCTCGAGCCAAGTCACCTTCCCAGCGAGCTGGCTCCCACGTGCACGCGCGTGGGCCGCAGTGGCAGCGCGCGTTTGGGATGGTCGGATTTCGCTGCTCGCGCGCCCTGAGAGCCCCCCGCCGCGCGCGGACAGCCTCGTCCGCGCCGGGCTGTTCGGCGCGGGGGGGAAGGGCGACCGCGGGCCGAGGGCGACCATAGAGAGGCGTCGCCGCGCTGCGCTCGAGAAGTCTCTGAGAGGTCCTTCGCGAGTGCGCCTTTGCCGCGGGGCCCCCCTTCAGTTGACGCGCCTGCCTTGGCGTCTCGCCGCCCGGCCCCGCGCCTCGCAGTTCGCGCGGCTGTTTCCCCCGGCTGGCGGGCGCTCGTCGATCTCCGCGGGCGACGCCGCGTATTTTTTCTACTTTCTGCAGTGACCGGGCGCCGTGGCCCAGGATGCCACCCAGGGCATTGACCTCGCCGCAGGGCCAGCGAGCCCCCGGGGCAGGGGTTTCCCGCGAGGTGGACTACCTCCGCCGGCGCGGTAGCGGCAGGATCGCGCCGGCGCTGGCCGCTCCTGCCGCGGGGGGCCAGGCGGCTTCCGCCCGCGATCCGCAGGGCGTCTGAGCGACGGGGGGCGGCCCGCCAGTGCCCCCCCTCGAGTCGCGGAGGGCGCTCACTCGGGCGACCGCGCGGTCACTGGCCACTGCGATGGCCCTGGCGCCTCGGGCCCGATGCGACGGGCAGCTCCTCGGCGGGTCCAGCAGGGGCGCTCGGCGCGCGACCGCGCGCGCATCGAGCGAGACGAGGGGAAGGCGACCCTGGGCCAGCTCCACGGGGTCGCCTGGGGGGGAGATCTCCTCGGCGCGTCTCGATGTTGGGCGGGGGGGTGGTGAAAGTCAAGCAGCTCGGAGTGATCGCCGCGCGCGTCGTCCTCGCAGGGGCCGCGTCGGTTGCTCGCGCGAGGAGGCCAGTCGGATGCTGGGCTCGCGATATGGCGTTCCGCCAGGCGCCGCGCGTCTCGTGGACAGGCTCTATAGCGAGGCTCTGCGTGTCCGGCGCGGGCCCCGCGGCGCGGTGCCGGCTGTCGAATCCAGCGATCGACGAGCTCATGGGGCTGGTCTTCTTGTCCCCGTTGTTCAGGAGATCGCTCGACTCCGCGCCGGCAGGGCAGGTCTTCGCCTCGGACGCGACGCTCTTCGTCGGCGGAGTCGCGTCGGCCCCGCCCAACGTGGAGGAGGCAGTTTGGCCATGGGGGCACGGGCTCCTCGACGGACAGGCGCGGCGAGGCTCGGACCTCTTGGGCTCCCAGATCCTGGCGAGCCTCTCGAGGTCCCTGGGGGCGGGGTCCGCGATGGCCCCCTGCCCCGCTCCTGGATTGGGCCCAAAAAGTTTACCATCCTGCTGTCCCGCAGGTTATCAGGCCGATGCGATGCTCGAGCGCGAGAGACCGTCGCCCTCAGATCGCTGGTCAAGCGGGCGGTCACGGGCCCACACATACGTATCCCGGCGATCGCAGGCTCAAAGGTTGCGCGCGGCGCCGCCGCCCGAGGGCGAACGCCCGGCAGGGTCTTTCAAGGGATCTTCGCCAGGACTCCCTTGTTTTTGTTGTTCGCAGGATGCCCGTTCCTCTCCCCTTGGGCGCGGAGCGCCCGTGACCCTGCAGATGGCCCAACGAGAGCTGCCGAGATGCGCGGGGCCAGGCTGCGCCCTCCCGAGGCGGTAGAATCGGTTGCCACTGTCGGGAGGCTCGATCTGGGGCTGGGCCGCGAGCGCACGTCGCTCGGTCCGCGGCCGCCGGCCGCCCGTCTCCTGCGACGCCTTCTGCGGGCCGAAGGCCCCCCTCAGTGCAGCTCTGGATCGCCGCAGCTTGATCGTCATCGGTCGCGACGCGCAGCGTGGCCTCCTCGAGGGCCTCACCGATCCCGACGCGCTTGCCCAGGGGATCGAGCTCATCGCGAGGATCAGGCCGACGGCGGTCGCTCTGGGGCCCCGCTGCGGGACCTTCTCGCGATTCATGAGCCCGTGCTCGCGGCCCCCGCGGACGCGCCAGCGGCGGCGGGGGCCGCGGCGACGCCCCGGGGAGATCCTGGGCAACAGGTGCGTGGGAACCAGGCTGGATCTTGCGAAGGCCCTCGACCGCGCGGGCGCCCTGCGGGCGCGGGGGCGGATGCGGCAATCTCTTCGGCGGGCACTTCTCGAGCTTCAGGAGGCCTTCGGCGCGGTGCCGCGCTGCGAGTCAGTCATGGACCAGCGCATGCGGGGCTGGCGTTGGCGCGAGACCACCGCCTGGAAGGGGCAGGGGGCGTTCCCGCCCCTGCTGACAAGGCGATGCGACCGCGGCCACTGGCACTTCGCCCTGGAGGACGGCATCAAGTGGGAGGACGGCGTCTGGCGGCACCTGGCGGAGGTGCCGGCAGAGCACTCCAGCGAGTGGTGCGACGCGGTGTCAGAGCAGCTCGACAGGCTCTGCCGCTCCCCGCGCTGCTGATGCTCCTGGGGATCTTCGGCTGCTGCCTTGGATTTCCAGGAGAAGGCCCACGCGCGCGCGCCTCGGCGCTGTCTCGCGGCGCGTGGCTTCGCGGGCCTGGCGAGGCCTCCGAGTGACAGTCAAGCCGGCCACTGCCCGTCGGTATATCATCATGCTCAACGCGTGGAGCTTGTGGCCCCAGAGTCGAGGGCAGCCCCGCCCCGACGACGTCGCGCGCGACGTCGAGCTGCTTAGCGCCGCCCTCGTCGCCTACGCGCAGTGCCTTTACGACGCGAAGGCGCCATATTTTGGGGGTTTCGAGGCCCTTGTTGGCGTTCAGTTTCGGTGGCCCCAGACCCGCTGACAAATGCGCCCAGCCGGGGCCGCGGCGGCTCGCTGGCGCAATTTCGAGCCAGTCGAGATGCGCACGCCCATGCCTGTCGAGGTGCACCTGGCCGCCTGGCCTTGGCCGTCGCTGAGGATGCGGCGGGGCATCAGCGCGCCTGCTCCTCGCTCCATTCGCTGCTGCGGCCCAGCGAGGTCGCGAATGCCCTCGGGCAGCGTTTCGTCTTGCCTGGGGGCCTGGGGGGCGACGTCGACGCCGGCATGCTTGCGCCGCTCTCTGCCGAGACATCGGACCGAGGGCCAAAGTTCCAGAGCGTCCTGATCGACGATTCTGCGCTGCCGAACTTACTGGGGCGCGCCTTCGGGCCCCTCTCTCGCCGGCGGTAGCGTTGCGCCCCGGACAGCTGCGCGGGCCGACCCGGAGGTTCAGCGACCTCAAGGGCCTCGTCGGCATCGGCGGCTCGCCCTGCGCCCTCTGGTCGCAGTGAGGAGGGTGGGCCATCTATCGCTTCCGCTCGTTTCAAAACCTGGGGCTGCTAAAATACCGCTGGCGCTGGGAGAACGCCAAATTGATGCATCACTCTCTCCGGATGGGCGCGGCCGTCTTGTCCTTCGCCCGCGCGTCGTCTGACAGCTGACAGCGTGTCTAACAGCTTACTCAACTCGTTCCAGCTGCGTGGGATATCGGGCGATTGTGCCGCCACCGCGCCCGGGGGCAAGACACGTGGCAATGACGGCAATGTTGGAACAGGTTGAGAGCTCTCTGTTTTCGGGCCCTGTGAGGCCGCGCGGCAGAACCAGCGCCGCCGCGCCCTGGCGCCCCTTGCCGCCCTTTGGCCGGCCTTCCCTCGCAAATTTTACACACAGGGTTCTGTGGAAAACGAGCGTCGGAGATCACGTGAGCACGGCGGTTATGACAGTAGAAGGAAGTGATGTGCCGTTTTCTCGCCCTTCCCCCCCGCCCTTGCGAACAGCCTTTGAACAGGTCGAAAGCTTTTTGTTGTGTGGTGTTCCGTGAGGCCGCGCGGCAGAACCAGCGCCGCTGCGCCCTGGCGCCATTGCTCGTTGTTTGGCCAGCACTTCCTCGCAAAAATCACACATGGGCCGCTTTGGGAATCGAGCGTCAGATATCATGGTGGTGATGTTGATGATCACAATAATGATGGTGCTGGTGGTGGGAATGGAAATGATGATGTTGGTGGCGGTGATGCCGATGATGATGATGATGATGATGATGATGATGATGATGATGATGATGATGATGATGATGATGATGATGATGATGATGATGATGATGATGATGATGATGATGATGATAGTGACGATGCTGATGGTGGTGTTGGTGATGATGCAGATGATGAGGATGATGAGAAGGACGACGATGACAAGGACGAGGAGGAGGAGGAGGAGGAGGCGGAGAGGGACGAGGTTTGTCCATGAGTTTTTCGGATGCTGCTCTTCCGCAGCCGCCTCTCGATTCAAGGCAGGGTTTCCAGGGGCGCCGTGGGCGGGCCGTTTGCTCCCCACGTCCTGCCCGCGCTCGGGTGCTCTCGGGGCGCCGCTCCCAGCGCGACCGCGCGCAAAGCCCCCTTGGCGCCGCGGCGCCGTCCACCGGGGCGATGGACGCTGCCGCCGGGAGGACGCACGGGTCCCAGGAAAAGCCATACGTTCAGCATCGTTTAACCGATCCCAATCCGCATCTCCATCCCGAGTCCACCATTTTACCAAGCCAATTGGGGATATACCGCTCAGAACCCGAAGGGAATAGCCAACATCCCCAGTTATGGAGGTAAGTCGGCCAGCTGGGCCGAGGCCACGCCGTTGGGAATAGGGGTCGGATGATCGATGATCGTACGCGGCACCTCACATGGCCCTTCCCGCTCTCCACCTCCATCATGGGCCCTGCCCCCCCTCTTGGGACAAGATCGTCCCAGGAGGGCACAGCAAACGCCCAAAAGCTCACCCCCGAAAGCGAGGGCCCCAAGGGTCCTCCCTCGCGGCCCAGGAAGTCCGGAACCCACACCGAATAGCAGCATACAGACATGCCAGTCCACAGGCCGGAGAGGACCCAGATCCTGGCAGAACCCTGGCCCTGGCCGAGGGATCTCACTCCCCCCCCCCCGCCGTCCCCCACCCTGGTCGCGGAAGGGGGCCCCGCCCACGGGCGACCACTCGGGGCCCGCAGGAGGTGCTTCAGGAACGCCGGCCAGATCTACTACGGCGACGTCGTGGAGTCCGAGGGGGCATGCGTCCGCCACGGGCAGGCCTCCTCGTCGTCGCCCTCCAGGAGGGGGGGGGGAGGGAGGATGGGGCGGAGGAGGAGGAGGAGGAGGAGGAGGAGGAGGAGGAGGACAAGAAGGAGTAGAACGACGAGGACAAGGAGGCGGACCAAAGTAAACCTAGAGTAAACCTCATATACACCAACGATGCTGCAATATGCCCACCCGCCCCCCACCCCCCATCATAAGCCCCTACATGAATTCCCTTTCGCTGCGGAAGCATTTGAAAGACGAACGCCCCGTGGTCCCGCAATTCAGGCGAGACCCCCTGTGTTGCAAAAGAGCTGCCATCCATGCTTCGGTATAGCCGTAGGGACGACGACGAGGTACCACAAAGTCCAATGACATATCCTTCGAGGGCCTTGCTCTGAAAACGAACCGCCCCTTAGTCCATATAGGAAGCACGTCACATCATAACACCGAACGGGGTTTCAAGCAAAGGAGCGGGTTTGAAAAGGAGCCGCCCTCTATCCGTGTAGCGTTTGCACAGTTTGAGACGTCTGATCCTAAGGGCGGAGGAAGGCTCAAACGAAAGTTCTGTTCAGCAATAGAACCGCCTTCCATCCGTGTAACTGCTGGAAGCTTTGAAAGTGAGTGCGCGCCGGGCTGAGGCGAGAGCCGCATTTTTGGAATGGGGTCACCTTCCATCCATGTAGCTGTTGGAAGCGTTTGAAAGAATGCATGCGGGCTACATTTGACCCCCCTTCGCCCGTGTAACTGGTGGGTACTCAGAGCTGCCGGGATCATAAGCGGAGAGGAAGTCTCAGACGACATGCCTTTCCCGCCCTATCGTCAATTTTGGTGGTCAGACCAGGGCGAATATTTATATATATATATATATATATATATATATATATATATATATATGCTTATCTTGCCCCTAATCAGTGCTTGCACTGAAGGGTTCCTAGCGGAGGTTGCAGGATTTTGCGAAAGTTTCCCGCCGATTTTGGTCGCACGCTGGGTTCCTGGGTTCCCGGTTCCGGGTTCCCGGGTTCCTGGTTCCGGGTTCCGGGCCGATTTCGGTGGGCGGCGAGGTTCCCAGGTTCCTGGGTTCCTGGTCGATCTTCTTATCGATCGGTTTCACCATCGATCTCAATTCCCACCTCTTCATCGATCCCACCATCGATGTCACAATCGATCTCACAATCGATCCCGCAAGCGATCTTACTAGAGATCGCACGAGCGATCTCGCGATCGATCTCCCTATCGATCTCATTGAATCGGCTCGGTCTCACGATCGACCGTACAATCTTCCTCTATCGATTCCACTATCGATCTCATTATCGATCTCACAATCAATCTCAAGATCCATATGATTAATTTTCAAATCATCCACTGATTGGTTTTTCTCAGGTGTAATCTGTATATATATACATATATCTATATATATGTATAAGGAAAGGGAATGGAGGAGGAGGAGGAGGAGGAGGAGGAGGAGGAGGAGGACGAGGAGAAGGGAGGGAGAGGAGGGGGGAGTAAGATGAGGAGGAGAGAGGAGGAGGCAGGACGAGGGAGGAGGAGGAGGAGGAGGAGGAGGAGGAGGAGTTAGGGGAAAAGGGGAGGGGGAGGAGGAGGAGGAGGAGGAGGAGGAGGAGGGAAATAGGAGTCATAGAATTGTTGGTCAACGTGGACCCATGTGTAAGCCTGTGCGCTCTGTAAGTAGAAACTTGACAGAGCCATCCAGCACCGTGCGCGGCATCCTGACCGAGCCACGCAGGAGTCCAAGTTCATCCTCCGGAAGGCTGCTTGGAGCACGCGTTACGAGCACAGTTTCTTGGCGAACCTCAAGGCCGCGGACGACCCGTTGCAGGCGAAAGGCTGCACTTCTTGTGCGATTGTCTGAACTCTTTCAGGGAGGTTCCCGTGAGCCGACGCCCCAGGAGCGTTGGCAAAAGCAGTGCGAATTGGTTTTCCAGGCCCCGTGCCCATTACTCGCGCTGCGTCACCTCCGCCGTTGCCTGGACTGGCAGTCCCTCCACATTCTCCCTGGTCTTCGGGTGGAGAGGGCTGTCGCTGTGCTGCGCGAGCTGGCGTGGCTAGTGCCGCCCCGGGTCTGGTCTTGTGCATTTGGAGCGCTCTGCAATGGGCGGACGGCCAGTCGCCGCATGCAACGCTTAGCGCCATGTGTACGTGGGTCCAGCTCTGGGGATGATGGTTTTCACCGTTATCGCTGTTGTTTCAAAGTTGTAGAATTCAGCACGCGGCGCCTCGGCCTGACGCAGGCTCCGCCCGCGGAGCAGCTCTCCTCTTTCCTCCTCCTCTCCCCTTCTCCGAATGTACCTCCAGCGAGCTACGTAGCAGCTAGCACGACGTGCTCTCGCACATACGCCGTCTACGCAGCCTCGCGACATGGGCTTACCAGTAACACCACGGAGGCTATGGCACAGTTTACGCGCGAGGCCTGTGCGGCAAAAATCGGCCTTGCGTCACTAGTTTAAGCTATTTGGCAGAGCTAGTCCCTCCGTTCTTTTCCTCTTTTGGTCGTTCGCCAGCGTCCCTCGCCTGGTATCTTCTCTCAAGGATTTGTATGATTATTAGCGCACCGTTGCGTTTGGCCGCCGTCTCTGACTGCAGATGATATCCTTTTGCTGGCTGTGCGGAGCATAACATTCACCCAGCTGTTGATACGAATGCGGGGATAATTCGGATATTTCGTATCATTTCCCTCTAGTTTGTTTCTCGTTTCTCGCGTGGTCCTCCTCCTCCTCCTCCTTTTGCCTCCTCTTCCTCGTCCTCTTCTGCAGTAGTTGTTTGGATGTACAGTTCACGTGGTTATTCACTTAGTTTGGACTCCAGCTTAGTCCGCGCCGGCCTGTTAGACAGCCTTGTTTGACACAGTCAGCATTCAGCATTGAATCCGGCTCTGATACCTTTGCCTTCCTTGTCTCCTTTGCTTTGTGTCCCCCCTTCGTTCCTCGTTTACTTCTCCTCCGGAATGCCTGCCGTGTGCATTGTTTATCAGCAGCACGGCCGCTTCCTCCCTCAGGCCACGGTTCATTGCATGAGTTCGATTGTTGCAGGTCGGTTCGTGTGGAGTCCCCAGTTTGCTGGGCGAAGTTGTTATTCGCTCTGTGGTGGTAGCCGCGTCTTGTGCAGACCATGTGGCCGCGTTCTCCTCCTCCTCCTCCTCCTCCTCCTCCTCCTCCTCCTCCTCCGCGTCCCCATCCTCAAAACAAAAATTAGCCTGGCGAAAGACCCAACCATATGCAGTCGTGAGTACCGCAATTGTGAGTATCTTCTTCGGTGGCGCTCCCCATGGGGCCACGAAACGCTGTACTGGGTGGGTGAAACGCAGGGAGCAAGGGCTGTACTGGGTGGTGGCGGACGCATGCGGGCGGTGCCACTGGGACCTTCCGTGGAACTCCCTATGGGCTCACGAAGCGCTGTACTGGGTGGGTGAAACGCAGGGAGCAAGGGCTGTACTGGGTGGTGGCGGACGCATGTGGGCGGTGCCACTGGGACCTTCGGTGGAGCACCCTATGGGGCCACGAAGCGCTGTACTGGGTAGGTAAACGCAGGGAGCAAGGGCTGTGCTGGGTTGTGGCGGGCGCATGCGGGCGGTGCCACTGGGACCTTCGGTGGAGCCCCCTATGGGAGCACGAAACGCTGTGTTGGGTGGGTGAAACGCATGGAAGAAGGAGGAGGGAGGGGAGGAGGGCGAGGAGGAGGAGGAGAGGAGAAGGGGAACGCGGGGACCGTCTCTTCAAAACGAGGACCCAACACCACAGGATGGTTGGGAACAACTGTGTATGTGGAATCTATGTGGAGCAATTCACGCGGTGTGAACTACGCGGTGTAGCCTATGCGGTGTACTTGCAATTTATTTGGTGCAATGTGTGTATGCTGCAAGCCATGGGGTGCATGGCATGTGGTGCAGAAAATGTGGTGCAAGCTTCGTGGTGCAATCAATGTGGCGCAGACTATGTGGTGCAATACACTCTGCTGAACTTGAAGTCGTCATCTCCACTGCTCGCGCAAACATCCCACCCACCCACCCGCAACTTGGTTTGCAAAACATCTTAAGACCGACTACGACGACACCGACGACAACGACTAGGACGACACCGACGACGTCTCCGACGACTTCGACGACGACAACGACGCCGACGCCGACGACGACGAAGACGACGACGACGACGACGCCAACGAAGGCGACGACGAGGGAGGAGGAAGGACGACGACGGCGACAACGACGACAACGACGACAACGACGAGGGAAGAGGGAGGACGGCGACGACGCGAACGACGACGAAGGAGGAAGGACGGCGACGCCGACGACGACAACGACGAGGGAGGAGGGAAGACGACGACGACAACGACGACGACGACGGCGACGAAATAGGAGGGACGACGACGAGACGCCGACGACGGACGACGACGACGACGAGGGAGGAGGAGGAAGGACGACCACGGCGACAACGACGACGGAAACGACCACGACGCCAAAGAGGACGACGACGACGACGAACACGAGAAAAGACAGAGGACGACGTAGGCGACGACGACGACGACGACGCGAGAGGAGGGAGGACGGCGACGACGACGACGACTTCGACGCAAGAGCGCGCGCGCACGCTTTTGTTGCAAAACCGTCTTGCGAAACCTTGGGTTTTTGTAGGTTTTTTGGGCGCACGATTTTGAAATCCTTCCGAAACCGATGGGTTTTGAAGGTTTTCGGCGTACGCCCGCGACGACGCGCGCGTCTGCACTTCGTTCCATTTTTTGTAGAGGATTCTCGCGACGGCACACGCGCAAGGGCGTTCGACAGATTTCGACATGCGCGTGCGCAAAGCCCGTTTGGTAGCATTTTGTGAAAATCTTGAAAAACTTGTGGTTTTCGTAAGATTTCGCAAGAGCTCGCGCGGAAGCTTTTTTAGCAAATCAGTGTTGCGAAACCATGTGTTGTTGTATGTTTTTTTGGAAGCTCGATTGCGAAACCCTTCCGGCACCGAAGGTTTTTGAATGATTTCGGCATGCGCGCGACGACGCGCGCGTGCGCACTTCGTCCATCTTTTGCAAGGGATTCGTGAAAAAGTGCTATGTTAGAACAACAAATGTCACCGCATACTGTAGTCTCTTGTCACATGGGAACCTCAGGAGGGGGAACTGGGCCTGCCTGGGATGGTATGATTTCATATTTTGGATGGACGAGTGTGCAGCAAATATATGAAATCATACCATCCCAGGGGGAAGCGATAAGTCCAGGAGGGGGGGGTATAGTTTATTTTTTTCAGAAAGGAGAATCAATGTGCCCACGAGGCGCCCTTCAGGACACGACTGGGCGAAAGGCAGTCGACGACTTGGAACATAGGCGAGAATCCCTTAATGTAAGCACTGTTAGGGGGGATCACAGCAACACTATATAGTGATCGCCAGCGAGTACCCAAAACGGTGATTTATTGTATTCCGCATGTGTCAGCTATGTGGTCCAGCCATGTGGAACAAGAGATGTGGTGCACCATGTCTGGTGCAACATATGTGGTACAAGCTACTCGGAACAAGCATTGTGTTTCTACATGTGCACCTATGCGTTTTCTTATTCCATGTGTAGTTACACATTCACGTGTTGTTATAGCATCGCCAACCACGCTAGGTGGTGCAATCAGTTGGTAGAAGATATGTGGTGCAACCTGTGTTGTGCAATCCATGGTGCAAGCTAAGTGGTGCAAGCTATGTGGTAGAAGCAGTGTGGTGCAGCCTATGTTGCGCATTTTGCCAAGTCAATGATGAGTTGTCAACTTGCCAACTCGCGCAGACATCCCGCCTTTCCACCCACAAAGTTTTCTTCATGCGAAAACCATGCGCCCGCGATTGCAATGATTGCTTAGCGCTGGCTTGCGCATCTCTGCAGCCGCGCTGGCGCGCGCACTCTCGCGCGCAGATCGGCCGGCTGGTTTGGCACAACTGGTGCGCCCGCGATGGCGCTTACCGATGGGAACTTCCCAGCGTCTCGCCGCGCTGGCGCGCGGGCACTTAAGTGCGGGCCGGTGGTTCAGGCGGGCGTGGTATCATGATGACCGCGACAACGGCAGCAACGATCTTGATAGTCGCGATCGTGGTGGCGATGACGGCGACGACGACGGCAAGGCCAATGACGGCACGGATGCTGGTGACGACGATGACGACGATGATGTGTGTCGGTGACGAATTCCAGTGGCTGATGATGGCGGCAATACAGGATATTGACGATGAAGATGCCGGCGGTGATGTGGTGGGGGAAGTGCGCGCGCGGGGAAATGCAAGAGAATTGGCAGATTGTTTTTCCCAACCGTCCTGTGGTGTTGGGTCTTCGTTTTGCAGAGACGGACCCCGCGTTCCTCTCCTCTCCTCTCCTCTCCGCCTCCTCCCCCTCCTCCTCTCTCCTCCCGTCACTCCCCTCACTTTGGCACACCCCTCACACGTTTCGTGGCCCCATAGGGAGCTCCACCGAAGGCCCTGGTGGCAGGGTCCGCACGAGGTTCCCCGCCCATTCCGGCACACCCCTCGCACGTTTCGTGGCCCCATAGGGTCTACCGAAGGCCCCAGTGGCAGGGTCCGCATGCGGTTCCCCGCCCATTTCGGCACACCCCTCACACGTTTCGTGGCTGGCCCCATAGGGAGCTCCACCGAAGGCCCCAGTGGCAGGGTCCGCATGCGGTTCCCCGCCCAAATTCGGCACACCCCTCACACGCTGCGTGGCCCCATAGAGAGCTCCACCGAAGGCCCCAGTGGCAAGGCTCGCATGCGGTTCCCCGCCCATTTCGGCACACCCCTCACACGCTTCGTGGCCCCATAGAGAGCTCTCCACCGAAGGCCCCAGTGGCAGGGTCCGCATGCGGTTCCCCGCCCATTTCGGTACACCCCTCACACGGTTCGTGGCCCCGTAGGGAGGCCCGTCGAACGATGGACCCAGAACGCGGTATCCACAATTGCTTATGGTTGGGTCTTTCGTCTGGCTAATTTTTGACCATCTGTTTTTGGAGAGCTCAATTTTGAAATGCGTCGAAAACCAACACTTCAGACAGGACTTCGACACGCGCGCGTGGCGGCGCGCGCGTGTGGCCCGCACTGAGCGCGTGCTAGATCGACGCTCACTCGCCGCGTGGTGAGCTGAAAATGCGGCTTCTGGTCGGGATGGCTGACATCATACTGTATGGTTGTCTTGTGATTCCAGCAACTGCACGCGGGCAGAAAACCTGCAAGATTTGTGCTGCACCACCTGAGGGTTCTTGATGTTTGTATGTTGAAAGGTTTGCAGAACTAGTGTGTTTGTGTGTGTGTGTGTGTGTGTGTGTGTGTGTGTGTGTGTGTGTGTGTGTGTGTGTGTGTGTGTGTGTGTGTGTGTGTGTGTGTGTGTGTGTGTGTGCGCTGGTTTGATTTCGACGTGCGCGCTCGCCGTGGAGCTCCCTATGGGGCCACGAAGCGCTGTGCTGGGTGGGTGAAATGGATGGAAGAAGGAGGAGGGAGGGGAGGAGGGGGAGGAGGAGGCGAGGAGAAGAGGAACGCGGGGACCGTCTCTTCAAAACGAGGACCCAACACCACAGGATGGTTGGGAAAAACAGTGACGCTGGCCACCACACGGGGCGGCGACGAGGCACCCACGCGGCGCCGACGAGGAGTCAAATTCCGAGGCGTCTCAGGCAGGAGCAGCTGGGACACTTCTTGCGAATGCCACGGGATGGACGACACCGTTCTTGGGGCCCTGTTCGGGGAGCGGAAGTTACGGAAGCGAGAGAAACAAAAAGAACCCCATCCATTGTTTTGGGGATGCTGCCAGCAGTGAAGTTTGCCAGTGTGGACCCCGATCAGTGAGTCATTGCATTGGATGCTCGCTATGTGGTGCACAGTTCGTGGTGCAAGCTATGAGGTGCAAGCTGCGTGGTGAAAACTATGTTATGCAAGCTGTAGGGTGAAAGCTATGTGGTGCAACCTACGTGGTGACATGTATGTGGTGCGAGCTGTGTGGTTGGTGCAGGCTACGCAGGGCAGCCACTACACAAGGCGCCCACGAGGCGTCCCCGGGCAGCGCCCTGGTAGAAAACTCTCGGAACCGCCAGCCAGTGCATGGGGCCCACGAGGCGCCCACGAGCGGCGATCGGGCGAACAAAACTGGAACCGCAGGCCAAATATATTGCAACGGAAGTAAAACAACCCTGAGGGCAAGCTTTCTTTGGGGAGTACACATAAGTACAGATAAGAAAATGAACGATGAAAAGGAGGAGGAGGAGGCGCAGAAAGGCGATGACGATAGACAGGAAGAGAAGGACAAGACCGAGGAGGAGGAGGAGGAGGAGGAGGAGGAGGAGGAGGAGGAGGTGTGCGGGGAGGAGGAGAAGGATGGGGAGGGCGAGCGAGAGTCAACCTCCACCTCGCTCCTAATTCCCTCCTCGTTCCTACTCGCTCCTCCCTCCCTCCCTCCCTCCTTCGCTTCCCTCCTCCTCCTCCTCGTCCACCTCCTGCTACGCTTCCTCCTCCTCCTTTATTGTCTTTCTTTTCGTCCAACCCCTTCTCTTTATCATTCACTTCCTTGTGTCTTCCTTTTCCGCATTTCTCCTGTTGCTCATTCCTCCTCCTCCTTCTCCTCCTCCCTCCGCCTTCATATTTGTCCTTCTCCTTCATTGCCCTCTCCTCCTTCTCATCATTTCTCCTCTCTTCCTGCTTATCCTCCGCTTTTTCCTTCCTAGGGTGTGCAGATCCTGACGGCCAAGACGGTCGACGGGGAGGACGCACGCGGAACTTATGCGGGGGTGGGGTGGGGGGCGGGGCATTCGTGCCGCTTGACATCTGGGCATCACGAAAAGCACGCCTGGCTTGTTCGGTTTGTCTCTGGCCCAGGGCCCTTCATTCATTTACCAGGCCCGTGAAAGCCGCCTTAAGATTGGGTTGGGAGTTCAGACCTAGCTATTGTTGCGACGTCGGATGGCTGGACTCCAAGCAACTGCTGCACTGCACTCCTCGGCACCCACGCTGCCTCGAGCAGCCTCGGACAGCCTCGAACGGCCTCGACTGTGGCACGGGCAGCCAGGGGGTCCCTCCTCCGAATGCGTTTGGTTTCCAGGCCGTAACTCGGGTTTCTGGCAGCCTTTCGGGACGAGGACGTGATGTGGGCCAGGTACAAGGGCGGCTGGAAGAGCGGCAGGATGCACGGCGCAGGCGCCTACAGGTGGAGCGACGGGAGCTGCTACGAGGGATCCTTCTCGGAGGGCAGGTTGCACGGCAACGGCGCCTTCACGTGGCCAGAGAGGAGCGTGTACGATGGCATGTGGGTGGACGGCGAGATGACGGGGCAGGGCTGCTTCCTCAACGCCTTCGACGGCACCACCATGCAGGGAGTGTTCTACCGCAACAGCTTCCGGATGCACGACGGCTCCTGGGTCGACGTGAGGCAGAGGCGGCTGCAGCAGCGCGCGCAGCGCCTCCGCATCGGGGCCGTGCCGCCCCAGGTGGCCTCGGCCAGCATGCCTGTTTATTATTGCGAGCCGGAGGACTCGGGCGCTCGGTAGTGGAGGGGAGGGAATGCACGGAGGGGAGGGGGTCAAGGCTTGCGCGAAAGTGGCCTTCTCAAGGGGCCCTCAACGGCCTCTTATTTGCAACCGCGGGCCCAAAAGGTGCTGGAAGGGTGCTCTCCCACCCCCCCAGACCCCCGACGTTATGATTTTTTCATAACGTCGACCCCCAGAGGTCTCGACCCAAGCACCGGCTTCTCTCATCCTGAGTCATGTGTTTGATGGTCCCGAGGCCCGGCGTGGGCCCCTGGAGGCCAAAACACAGCGAAACATATTCCGTCATCATCCCCGACCTTCCATCGGTTGGGCTCTCGTTTTGAATACAGCGTTGTTGTCTCCAACCCGTCCTCCCGTCCTCTCTTCCTTCTCCACCTCCTCCTCCACCTCCTCCTTCCTCCCCCTCCTATCCCCTGCTTCCTGCTTGCTTGGGTTCGCGTATTGCATAGAGCACTGCTTGCGGCTTGCGCGTCCTCCTCCTCCTCCTCCTCCTCCTTTTCCTTTTCCTCCTCCTCCTCCTCCTCCTCCTCCTCCCGCCTCCCTCTTGTTTCCTGCTTCCTGTCTCGTGGCCGCGGCTCCCTGGGGGCGCTGCGAACTGTGCAACTGTCGCTACTTTCGTGGGCACCAGGGAGGCCCAGTGGAGAAGAGAGGTGCGCACATCGCGCCGAGACCTTGCGTTTTCCTGGGGTGGATGCGAACTGCGCAACTGTCGCCTCGTTCGCGGGCGCCTGCGAGGCCCCGCGGAGTGGGGGTGGTATACGCACATCCAGCCGAGACCTTGTGGCTCCATGGGTGCTGCGAACTGCGCACCTGCCGCCACTTTCGTGGGCTCCTTGGAAGCCCAGCGGAGTGGAAGAACACGCGCGTCCCGCCGAGATCTCGCGGCTCACTAGTGGGTGCGAACTGCGAAACTGTCGCCACTTTCGCGGCTTTGGGGTCCACTGGCGGACCTGGTCGCTCGCCTTCAGAGTATCGGCACCTGCACGGAGCGCTGCAGGAATGAGGCCGCAAAGTTGCCGCACGAGCTCGGCCTCGCCAGGTTCCTGCATGACTGAAGACGGCGCCCGCCAGCGGTTGCAGCCGCATTCCTGTGCTCCCTCACTGCTACTTCAAAGGCGCGGATGGCGATTCCTGCACCTTGCGGCGGTCGTGATATATATATATATATATATATATAAACAAATGGGTGTATGTATGTATATGTGTCTATATATATATATATATATATGAAAAGATGGATACACACATATATATATATATATATATATATACACACACATATATATATATATATATATATACACATGAGTAGGCCAGGGGGGGGGGGCGGCAAAATCGGTGCTGTCATCCCCCATGGCCGCCCCCCGAACCTTTGGGGGGTCACAGACCCCCCGGGACTGCCCCGGGCCGCTTCCAAATTGCCCACGACAGGTCACGCGGGCCGTACAGATGGTCAAAAAAGCCTCAAGAGGCCCCGAAGACGCCCAAGAGCGCCCCAAGAGGGCCCGTGAGGGCCCCAAGAGGGCCTTCAAGAGGTAAAAATCTGCCCATTCCCTTCGTAAAACGTGCGTCTTCGGCATACTCGCTGGCTTTGTCTTCACTGCGCCCCAGACGCCCCGGCGGAGCCCCAACACAGCCCAAGAGAGATCCAAGAGGGCCCCAGTCTGGCCCAGACGGCCCAGAAGGGTAGGCCAGGGGGGTGGCCAAAACCGGTGCCATCATCATGGGCGCCCCACCGAACCTTTGGGGGGTCACAGACCCCCCGGGACTGCCCTGGGCCGCTTCCAAGGTGCCCACGACAGGCCACAAGGGCCGTACAGATGGTCAAGAAAGCCTCACGAGGCCCCGAAGACGCCCAAGAGCGCCCCAAGAGGGCCCGAGATGGCTTGAAGATGGCCGGCGAGAGCCCCAAGAGGGCCTTCAAGAGGCAAATATCTGCCCATTCCCGTAGTAAGACGTACATTTTCAGCATACTCGCTGGCTTCGTCTTCACAGTGACCCAGACGCCCCCGAGGAGTCCCAACACAGCCCACGAGAGACCCAAGAGGGCCCCAGACGGCCCAAAAGGGTCGGCCTCTGGGGCTCACGGTGACCCCCCCGGACGGCCCAAGAAGCCCCAAAGCCGACCCAGGAGGCCCCCAAGACGGCCTCAGGGAGGGCCCAAGAGGGCCTCGTTCGAAATCATGTTCCCGGAAGCCTCTCCGGGAACATGATTTCCGGCTTCCCAGGACGCCCAGGAGGCCCACAAGACAGCCTCAGCGAGGCCCCAGAGGGCCCGAGATGGCTTGAACATGGCCGAAGAGGGCCCCGAGAGGGCCTTCAAGAGGCAAAAATCGGCCCATTCACATAGTACAACGTACATTTTCAGCATGCTCCCTTGCTTCATCTTCGTAATGCCCCAGACGCACCCGAGGAGCCCCAAGGCAGCCCAAGAGGGCCCAAGACGGTCCAAAAGGGTCGTCCTGTGGGGCTCACGGAACCCCCCAAGACGGCCCAAGAGGCCCCGAAGCCGGCCCAGGAGGCCCCCAAGACGGCCTCAGGGAGGCCCAAGAGGGCCTCGTTCGACATCATGTTCCCCGAAGCCTCTCCGGGAACATGACTTCCGGGTTCCGAGGACCCCAAGAGGCCCACAAGACAGCCTCAGCGAGGCCCCGGAGGGCCCGAGATGGCTCAAGATGGCCCCCCGAGAGGGCCTTCAAGAGGCAAAAATCAGCCCGTTCCCGTAGTAAAACGTACATTTTCAGGATACTCCCTTGCTTCGTCTTCGCAGTGCCCCAGACGCCCCCGAGGAGCCCCAAGACAACCCAAAAGAGACCCAAGAGGGCCCAAGACGGCCCAAAAAGATCGTCCCGTCGGGCTCACGGACCACCCCAAGACGGCCCAAGAGGCCCCGAAGCCGGCCCAGGAGGCCCCCAAGACGGCCTCAGGGAGACCCAAGAGAGCCTCGTTCGAAATCATGTTCCCGCCAGGACACCCAAAGACAGCTCCCAGAGGCCCCGGACACGCCTAATATGGCCTCAGGACGGCCGACGACGCCCCCAAAACGCCCCAAGAGCGCCTCCAGAGGCCCCTCCAAAGGGCCCCAGAAGCCGAAAATCATATATTTTCCAATGGTTTTTGAAGCATTCTTGCTCTCTCCCATGTTCCGCCTCCCCACGGTCCCGGACCGCGTCAGAGGCCCTTCAGATCGCTCCAAGACGGCCGAAGAGGCTCCCGAGAAAGCCCAGAAACGGCCCAGGAGGTTCCCCAGATAAGTCAAGAGGGCCTCGAGAGCGCCCCAAGAGAGCCCCAAGAGCGACCCAAGAGGGCCCGAAGAGCGCGACATTTCGACGTCTCCAGCTTGAGAGGCTCCTAGGACGCCCCCGGAGGCCATCAAGAGGCTCCCAAGAAGCCCCGTGAGGCTCCCAAGAGGCCCCCCGGAAGCCCCAATAGGCCCCCAGGGAAGCCCCCTGCGGGCCCCCGAGACACTTCGGTAAATCGTATTTCTTAGATAGCTTTCTGGGAAAGTGATTCCTTGGGCTTCCGCCCACCACCCCAACTCCAATAGGCTTGCCGACAAGGCCAAAAGGCGCCCCTCAGTGAGCCCCCAGAGGCCCCCCTCTTAGAGAGCCGAACAAATCATGCTCCCCGAAAGCTTCCCGGGAACATGATTCTGTATCTCGGAGTAGGCCCTGGGGGGGGCGGGCCGCTGCCTGTTCCCCCCATCGGTGTCCACCAGGGGTTGCGGGGGGGGGGGGGTCCAGAGCTCCCGAGGCGGCCCGAGCCCGCCCCGAAGCAGGCCACGACAGGCTAAGGAGGTCCCGAGAGGACCCAAGGTCCCACGAGGCCCCGAAGACGCCCAAGATGCCCTCAAGACAGCCGACGAGGACCCCAACACGCTCCAGGACGGACTCAAGAGGCTCCCCAAGAGGGCCCTGGAAGGCAAGACTCACTCGTTTTCCGAGTGTTTGGGATTTAGGCGTTCTCGCTCTCCCCGCTTTCCAGCGCTCCCTCACGGCCTCGGAGGCCTTTCAGATCGCCCCAAGAAGGCCCACGAGGCTCCGACGAGGGCCCCAAGACGGCCCAGGATGCTCCTCAGACAACCCAAGTGTGCCCCAAGAGCGCGCCAAGAGAAGGCCCAGAGGGGTCACGAGGCGGCCCGGGCCCGCCTCGAAGCAGGCCACGACAGGCTAATGGAGGTCCCGAGAGGGCCCTAGACGGTCCCAAGAGGCCCCGAAGACGCCCAAGATGCCCAAGACGGCCGACGAGGACTCCAACACGCTCCAGGACGGACTCAAGAGGCTCCCCAAGAGGGCTCTGGGAGGCAAGATTCACTCATTTTCCTATGGTTTTTGAAGGATTTAGGCGTTCTCGCTCTCCCCGCTTCCCAGCGCTCCCTCACGACCTCGCTCGGAGGCCCTTCAGATCTTTCCAAGACGGGCCACGAGGCCCCGAAGAGGGCCCCAAGACGGCGCAGGAGGCTTCCCAGACAACCCAACTGTGCCCCAAGAGCTCCCTAAGAGAGGGCCCAGAGGGGGACCGCCAACCGATATTTCGAGGTCTCTGGCCCTACAGGCCGCCAGTAGGCCCCTGGAGGCCAGCCAGAGGCTCCCACGAAGCCCCGTGAGGCGCCCAAGAGGCCCCCAGGAAGCCCCAAGAAACCCCCACGGGGCTCCCAGGGAACGCCCAAGAGGCCCCCCAACACACCCCAAGAAATCATTTCCCCAGAAAACCTTCCGAGGCTGGTTCATCATGGGCCCGAGAGTTCCCGGAGGCCCCCAAGGGGCCCCCAGGGAACGCCCAAGAGATCCCCCAACACACCCCAACAAACCATGTCCCCAGAAAGCCTTCCGGGGACATGGTTCATCATGGGGCCGCGAGTCTCCGGAGGCTTCGAAGTACCATCATGCTACAAGAGAGCTGTCTGGGAAGTTGATTGGGAACATGACTGATCGCCTTCTCGCGGCCCTTCGCAGATCGTTTCGCACAAAGTTGCCCTAAGTGCCCTCT